TCCGAATCTTCTCCGTCAATTGTGATTGGATTGGTGAATGCTGTGTTGTATAGGAGAATCTTGCTTTTCACTTTGTGTATATTGAGGCCTATTGCTGCTGAGGCTTCTGCTACACTAGTCGTCTTCTCCTGCATTTGTTGTTGTGTGTGCGATAAAAGAGACAGATCATCTGCGAAGTCTCGATCATCTAACTGCATCCTATATGTCCACTGTGTCCCGTGCTTCCCTTCAGATGTTGATGTCTTCATGATCCAGTCGATCATCAGGAGAAAGAGAAAAGATGAGAGTAAGCAACCTTGCCTGACACCGGTCTTTACTTCGAACAACTTTGTCAACTGTCCTCCATGAACGATCTTGCAGTTTAATCCATCATAGGAATTCTGTATGATATTGACTATCTTCTGAGGCACGCCGTAGTGTCGAAGAAGCTTCCATAGGGTTGTTCTGTCCACGCTGTCAAATGCTTTTTCGTAGTCAATGAATTTGATATATAGTGATGAATTCCATTCAATTGATTGTTCCACAATGATCCGTAGAGTTGCGATTTGGTCTGTGCACGATCTATCCTTACGGAATCCTGCCTGTTGGTCACGAAGTTGTGCGTCTATGGAGTCCTTCATCCTGTTTAACAATATCCTGTTGTAGACTTTTCCTGGTATTGAAAGAAGAGTGATTCCCCTGTAGTTATCACAATTGCTGAGGTCGCCTTTCTTTGGTATTTTGACTAGAAGTTTTTCTTTCCAGTCTTTTGGTACCTGTTCCTCATCCCAGATCTTTCTGAAGAGAGTTTGGAGTATCCTTGCAGTTGCCGCTACGTCTGCATTCAGTGCATCTGCTGAAACGCTGTCTAGTCCTGCTGCTTTGCCACTCTTGATTTGTCTGATGGCCATGCTGATTTCTTCAATTGTTGGTGGGCCAACGTTGATTGGGAGGTCCGTGAGTGCTGCTTCGATGGTGGGTGGGCTCGGTGGGGCTGGTCGATTCAACAGCTCTTTGAAGTGTTCCACCCATCTGTTTCGTTGTTCTTCAATGTTGGTGATTATCTTGCCTTCCTTGCTTTTCACTGGTCGTTCTGGTTTACGGTGATTTCCAGAGAGTTTCTTTGTTGTTTCATACAGTTGTCTCATGTTTCCTCCTCTGGCAGCCTTTTCCGACGTCATTGCCAAATCTTCCACATATTTACGTTTGTCAGTTCTGATGCTCCTTTTCACTTGCTTGTTTACTTCTGTGTATTCAGCCTGTGCCTTGGCTTTTTCTGCTCTTGTTCGACTGGTATTGATTGCTGCCTTCTTGTTCCTCCTTTCTTGAATTTTATCCAGTGTATCAATCGTGATCTAATCCTTGTGATTGTGCTTCTTTTGGCCCAGAACCTCATGACATGTTGAAGTGATTGCCCCTTTTATCCCTTTCCAGTTGCTCTCCATAGTAGTTCCGTCGCCATTGAGTAGATCATGAAAGGCCTGGAACTTATTGCTGAGGGCTATCTTGAATTTGTTGAGTTTGTCAGTATCCCGAAGAAGAGACGTATTAAACTTTTGTGATATTGTCCGCTCTGTTGTCCAGTGCTTCTCGAGTTTCAATTTCATTTTGGCGACCAGCAAGTGATGATCTGATGCTATATCAGCTCCTCTCTTGGTTCTCACGTCCTCCATTGTCCTCCTGAACTTTTTGTTGATGCAAATATGGTCGATATGGTTCTGTGTGGTGTGATCTGGTGAAGTCCATGTGGGAATATAGTCCCGCCTATGACCAGTTTATTGAAGGCACATAGATTTGAAAATCTCTCACCATTTTCGTTCCTTTCTCCCAGTCCGTGTCGTCCCATGATCTCTTCATATCCGGTGTTGTCAATTCCAACCTCGGCAGTTAAATCTCCCATCAGAATAGTCAGGTCCTTTGTTGGGCACTTCTCGACGATTGACTGCAGCCTATCGTAGAATTGATCTTTAGCGTCTTCATTGTAGTCGTTGGTAGGCGCGTGGCATTGGATGACATTCATTGTAATCCCCGTTTTCTTTGTTTTGAAGGAGGCTTTGATGATCCTTGGTCCATGAGATTCCCATCCTATAAGTGCATTTTGTGCTTGTTTGGACAGCATCAATGCAACTCCTTGTGTATGTGGGGCACTTTCTTCTTCATGTATGGAGTATAACAGAAGCTCCCCTGAAGCTAGTCGTTCTTGTCCAACTTGCGTACAATGTGTTTCACTGATCACAAGCACCTGTAGGTTGTATCTCCATATTTCTGCAGCAATTTGGAAGACTCTCCCAGTCTCTCACATTGTACGAACATTCCATGTACCTAAATAAATGATTGCTCTGGTTGTCAGAAGGGACATCAGCCTCGTGACTTCCGAAGGAACTCGGTTTTCATCATGAGGCTTCATAATTCTTCTAAACGAAGACCTTCTAACTTCTAGGGCGGAGTTTAAATGGTTTGGGTTATCTTTTCTGGTTAGCGTTTTTTAGCGAGTTTGTTTTCTACGAGATGTGGTCGCTAATCGCATGCTCAACCCTCCTTCTTTATCCGGGCTTGGGACGGGACTCCAGGAGGAGTCGATTGAACATTCGGGTCTTATTAATATTGTTCGTATTCTTGTGTACAAAGATTTGTCCCCTTGTTTCTGTGACCAATGTGTTCTATAAATTGGTAAACTGATTAGCGTATTATAGTAGCTCTTAGCGTTTATAATAGTTTGTAAACTGGTTCACCTAATGAAACATGTTATTTGGGAGTGAGTGAGGTCTCGGGAAATAGCAGTGGGGCCTCTGGTTGACGAAGCATAAATATATATAAGAAACGAGATTGAATATAATACACTTCCCTGGACGAATCCGCTAGTTATTTGTCTAGGTGATGAGAGACAGTCATTGTACTTTACCATTTGTTTACGTTCTGCTAAGAATGAAACGAACCATGAATATAGTGGGTTGTTGATTCCGAAGGACATTAGTTTGGCTAGAAGCCTTTTGTGTGGGACTTTGTCAAAAGCTTTCTTAAAGTTTAAGAATAGGATTGATGCAAGGATTCCGTTGTCTCTTTTCGGAGTTATATCATTCAGGTAGTCTACTAGGCATGTATCATATGATCTGGACCTAAGAAATACATGCTACGAGGTCGAGGTGAGATGGTTAGTAAGTAGATGTCGGACTACCGCCGCTTTAACTATATTTTCCATCACTCTAGATACCACTGAAGTTATGTTTATGAGCCGGTAATTTTCAACACTTGCTTCAGGTCCTGTTTTAATTTTGGGAATGATATGTGTAGTTTTCCAGGTAGTAGGGTAACACTTTGTAGAGAGTGATATCGCAAATAGTTTGAGAAGCAAAACACACATATCATCACCACGTTTTAGCATGCTAGCAGGAATACCATATGATCCATCAATGCAGGAGTGTTTCAATGTACTAATGGCCTCAGAGATATTTTGCATATTGATGTCTACATTAGTAATTCTACAGGGAGGTACTGGGATTGGTTCTAAATCATTTAGTGGTTTCATGTTAGTTGATGAGAAACAAAATTGTTCACTAAATAGTTCCATAACCAGTTTGAGATATTCATATACTTATTTGTCTTTGACAAATATGTTCCCTCTCGATTTAGAACGTTTAAGTTTATTTTGGAGGAGTATGGTGAGTGCAGTCGAGGTATTATTAAGTTCGATAGCATTTTTTTCCTGTGCAACTCTTTTTTGAGCACGTATTTCCTCTGTTCGGACAAATATTTCTGTCATCGTTACTAAAGAGGAAAAGTCATCAAAGTTGTGGAATGGAGTACAACGTCTTTGAAGATGTCTTCCTGTACCGACCGGTATATACAGATCTTTGGAAAACTTAGGTTTCCGGTATTCTAAAGGTACGATTTTGCTGATGATACTTCCGATGTCGTGATTATATATATTGGTTAGTGTGACGGTAAAGAATGTTCCCCAATCAGTGCTTTTTAAGTAATTGTGGAAGTTACTACAATCAACCTTGCGGTTTTAGTGGGGGAACAAAATGCATGTAAATACAGACGACAATGGGAGTAACGATAGATAAAAAGAAGAAACAATGGAATATTCATAGCGTAAAACACATACAGAGGGATTTTCTCAAACATTCTTACTGGCCGGCGATACTCCTCCATACAACACAAAAGTCCTCTAGATTCTTTCTTTCATGGTTCAGACTTAATAAATTAATACTTTTTAAAAACCGAGTAGAATTTCTAGCAGTACACCTGCCTGATATTTAGCTTCCTGATAATTTATATCGAGCGTGAACATGATTTGTATGCTAGTAGAACGTAAGAACCACAATGTATGGATTCATTTAGAAGGGAAAAAACAAGAAAATGGGAGTTTTGACGAGATTGACGGGATTGCATTTAAATGTTAAAAGTGAATGACAAAAGCCAGAACCAACTTTCACACGAGATTAAGGCTGTCCGACAGCTAGTACAGAAATTTTGAGAAAGTTGTAAGCGGGTCGACAATGAAATCCATAGTGTTAAATAATCCATTCATAGAGTACTAGCAGTGCCGCCGACTGAAAAATTAAGCTCTTTCTGATTCTTTTAAGAGTTTGTTCGTTATTTTCTTAAGGGCTCAAAATAGTTCCTTGTGTAGCTTTACTATCGAATTCCTTATTTTTTTTGATTTCATATTCCTAAGATCTCACTTGGAGGAATAAATGACAGATTTCTAAAGATACGTAAAGCTGTAAAATGAGGGCTTTTTCTTTTAAGTCCATAATCATTTGGTATCTCATGGCATAATTACCGGGATTTCACCAAATCAAATTTGGAGGTCAGAATATTAATTTTCTGAGTTTAAGAGAGCTCCTGGATTCAAATTATTCGATTTGAAAGAAAGAAATCAACTTTTAATGGTGAATGTTCAAGTACAATTATCAGATTCTAACGTAGAACTTTGCTTTGTCTTAACGAATTTATGACTAATTACAATTAGCGCGCAAGTAGAAACCTTTCGGCCGTTTATGTTATTTTAAGAAATGGTCGGTAATGGTGAATACGAGGATCAAAACTCCTCAAATGCGTCATCATTTTGGGAGTGTCGAGAATATCATCGGACGGTTAAACGCGTGGATGCTGCATACAAACTTTGTAATGAATTATGTCTAATGATACAGGAACGGGCAGAATTAGAAAAAGCCTATTCATCTAATCTCAAGAAATGGTCTTCTCGGTGGCTTAGTTTCCTTGATTCTGGTCTAGAATATGGTTCTGGATCTTCTCCTTGGAAAGGACTATGCAAAGAAGCTGAAGCTGTATCAAATGCCCATCAAGTAAGAACTTTCTCAGTGACTTAATTATCGCGACCCCTTTCAAAATTCTAGCAAATCTCTGTACTGCTAGATCTAGTGTTCAAAATTTCAACTGAGTTGGGATATACGAACAATCGGTTTTCGTATTTGCTTAGTGGTTTTAGCAACGATTGAGTAAATGTATACATGATGAAATAGCTCATATTATACACAACCTTTGTTGTCGTCCTCGTTGCTGACTAGTCTTTATTAAAATGCGGTCTCTGAGTACTTTGCTGATTTTCTTTCTGAAACCCTTGGTGGTTATTTTAACTGCGATTATTTATTTGTCGTTAATTAGTAATAACCGGTAGTCTGAGCACATACCATCAGTAATTATTTGTTGTTCATAAGTTTATGTTAAGATCATTCACGGATTTCGAAAGTTGTAATAAACAACTACAAAATTATATCTGTTGGCTTAATCGGAAAAACTTTCGGTTGGGTATTAAGTAAGTCATAATAATACTTCCAAGTCATGGTTCCCAGAAGAATCAGTAACAACATGATCTGCTTTTTTTAAATTCGGGTATCTAAAGGTTACGACTTGGATTGTGATTAGGTACAAATTGGGGCTGTTTGTGACTAAACTTTGTCTCATTCAAGAAGATACACTTGCAGAAGCTTACTAGAATGGTATTAACACATGCGATTGACCTTTTGTCCTCAATGCACAAATCCGCACCTCAATTGTTTACCTAGTTTCGTTACATCTTCCGTATCGTCTTTTGGCTAAGTAGATTAAGTCGATTCGTGCTACTGTAAAGTGGTTCTAGTCCACTGTCAACAAAAAGAAATCGTACCAATCTATCTGCTTATTGGGAATTGCCAAAAACCTTAAATAATTTCATCACCTGTCCTAGATAAGTGCGTTGGTGTTGGATTTTGTATTTGTGGTGAGGTTATCATTTTATCACGAAATATGATGAGATCTGTGGTGGTATTCAGTAGGTGGCATTGTGCATCTAGACATGACGGTTATCCCACAATTTACATAAGGCTCTGTGTTAATGAATGAGATGGGCTTATTACTGAAAATTAACATGCCCTAATAGATAGGTCAGTATAGGTAAATATTATACTACTTTGAGCAGAATTCAGTCTTTACTTTCATATTAGTTACAGTTGAATGTTCAAACTTCTTAGTGGTTGTCAGTGGCAGTATGATTGAACTTATAACTATTACTAATATCTTTAAAAGCAGCCTGTAAATCTAATTGTGAGTGGTGAGTATCAGGGAATACGTTAACTCGTCTATATATCGAGTTTATAGGGAGCGTTTTTTAAATAATTGGTAATTGGCGTGAATGCTGAAAATACTTTTGGATGTTTTTGCGAATAAACCTCATTTATCTAATGAATACGGTGGTCTTGAGTGGTTTTAAAGGCATGAGGGCAGTTATGACTTCCCGGTTGCTTGCAAGATGAAGGGTCTCTCTAGAAGTAACTGAGAAGAAAATTGGGTTGGTCTTAGTGACTGGAAGCGCGACCGCGATATCCAAGAGGAAGCTGCTTGAGACCGGTCGCGCACGACCTTTTTGCAGTTAATTTTTGTGTTAGCTTCCTAATTATTGAGACAGAATAAGGTGAGGTGTGTATTCTTCGGGTTAACCTTTCCTCACCCCACCCTTTTCTTGTGAGAAGACTGTATCGTTGTGATGCTGGTTTTCTGATACTGCCCGGGTACCCAAACCGAAGCAGGTGGTTTTCTTAGGGGGCCACACCCCGAGCCTCCGACCTGAACGTCTGACCCACAAGGCAGTGGAGCATCGTAAGGAGATGCAGTCCCATGGTAGCCGGTGACCAACGATTGGTTCATACGCCATTTGTTCCCTCAGGATACTAGAGCCCATGTGCACCATTGGTTTGGGATCTGGTTAAAGCGCCGGACATTCGCTTTTCGTCCTCTCATTTTCGTAAACAACACCCGTGGTGCGAGAAGGCAGTGAGTAGGACTTCCCTGACAGAGGTTATATACGCGTGGCCATGTGAAAGCATTCCAAGAGGGAGAGTGGACTCTCCCCACTCTTGGCCGTACCAGGGCATTTGGGGGCACCTTACTGTCATCATACCTCTATACGGTTAGCAGTACGACTTCGCGTTTAGACCTTGGGTTAACCCGTCAACTGACCTGCCTTACATGGAAGGACCTTGAGGGAGGATTGTTTCAGCCAGTATAACCCGACTGGTTCATAACATTAGGCAAGGCCGACCACCAAGTCAAGGCAGCAGCACCGGTCAGGCGTAAATAAACATAACACTGTACAACCAGGGAATGTCACATACTAATACAAGTGGCCACAATTAAGTTTAACCAGGAAATAATGGCCCATCAAAGCATAAAGCAATTATTCAGTTTCAAACTGACCTGCATTTGGTTTGTTCCTACTCACTGTGTTTTCGCAGCACGGGTGAATAACGGATGAATAACGATTAGAGCCTTATGTATTTCAGAATTCTTCATAGATCATTTTTTATAAGTGGCTTTGTCATTGCTGTAAAAATGCTGCGAATTATTCAAGCGTTTTCACTTTCTCTAAAGATGGTTACTATTGTCGGTAAGAAGTTCTCTCAACCCTATTACTTTTTTTACTGAAGTCAGTCTCAGTGCCGTTCTTTAGGATATCTTCTAAACCTGAAATATTTTTACAGCTTGTCTTTTATATTTGTGCGTTCAGCCACTGGATGCCTAAGCTAAATATTCTAATATTTCAAATGTCTGAATTTAGCCTGTACTACTCATCTTAACAGTACTGTTGCTCATGAATGTTGGTACTTTAGACCGTGACCCGCTGTTATATGGGTTTCAATTACAACCACTGCTTTGGGATATTAATATTCGAACAACTAGATATCCTCTCTTGGAAACACTCGATAATTACGAGTTAAATCCTAGTATACAGACCTGCATTTGGTCTTCAGGTATCATCCTGTTCTCGTCCCCCAAATCTAGCTTATTATATTAATCATTTTATGATTTTCCGTGTTACGTTTTGAGTTCACTGAATCTTCCCTCCATTTCGACTGCTTTTGCAAACCCCCTTTTACGTTCTTAGAAGTTTAGTACACAACTTTTTAATCTTATCTTCAGAGACTTGTAAGTATATTTATTCTCAGTTAATGTGCTAATAGTTTATCTTTTGTGGATCCAACAGGGTTTTAGCTAAGTATTCCTTACTTGCGTGAGTAAGCTGGAACTGGGTTAATTTGAGATCGTTTTCTTTCATCCAGAAATAATTAGTCCTAAAAATATTCAAAAACCTGTTTCAGATGCTTGGCATTCCAGTTATGTCTGTAATAATGATGATTGTTGATTGGGTATGTATTAATATCCTATCTTCTGTGTTGCAGTATCTGAATATAAAAGTACTTGGTTAGTTAATAGTTAATTTCTTTGAAGTTCATAAACGGTATTAATTTTTTAACTCATTACAAATCTATCTATTTATCCATCTATACACGTTTGTTCACGATTACACTTTATGCCTTAAGGGGCCATATTTCTTGTAGTTTCAATCTTATCCAGTTTTATGTAATTATACTTTTACTCTTATTTTCAAAGAATGTACGTAACATCTTAATAGACGACATTCAAACTGGAGTTAAGCAATGGCAAAAAGAGCACTTTCACAAAAGTTCGTTACCTCCGCAAACATTGAAAGAAACAAAACAATTTGAACAAGATTTTGAATTGGCACAGAAACAATGGTCCAAACGTTTGAAAAAAGTTCACGCTACTAAAAAGGAGTATTATCAAGCTTGCAAGACAGAACGTTCGCTTCAAGTTCAGGTTCGGAATGCTAAGAGTGACCCAAGCGGTACTGCTGAGCAGGTAATGTATCTGTTTTTACAAGTCAACTATATTTGTTTTTTAAATGTGTTTAATTTCACACCTTTTTTGTGTTGTGTATTTTAATTGTTTAAAGATCCCCACCATGTTTAAAGACTAATAGCACAAAAATGTAACTTAGAACTTCGATCAACATAACTTGCTCCACAGGAACAGTCGAATTGATAAATACAAAATGAGGTAATTCATGTTTTACCCTAGTTGTCACCATTGGGTTCGTAGGAAACACTAATCTTAGTTCTCTGGTGTTGAAAGATTTTTGGGTTGTTCTATGTAATTTCTGATTTGGTATTTCCGCTAGCCGCATCTCTTCTGAATTGTAGGCGCATGATTTTTTATTCACTGAATGTATTTCGCCTATTCTCATCTTCGTGATCAAATATTCAATTGTAAACTTACTAGGGTATCCGTTCACCCTAAGAGTATTACGCAAGGTGTTTAGCTCTTCAACTATATCCGTAGAACTTACTTACTTACGCCTGTTACTCCTCGTGAAGGAGCATAGGCCGCTCACCAGCATTCTCCATCCAACCCTGTCCTGGGCAATCCTTTCAAGCTCTTTCCAGTTCTTATTCATCTTTTTCATATCTGCTTCTATTTCCCGACGTAATGTGTTCTTTGGCCTTCCTCTTTTCCGCTTCCCTTCAGGATTCCAAGTTAGCGCTTGTCTCGTAATGCAGTTTGATGATTTCCTCAATGTATGTCCTATCCATTTCCATCGTCTTTTCCTAATTTCCTCTTCCGCTGGAAGCTGGTTGGTTCTCTCCCACAAAAAGCTTTTGCTGATGGTATCCGGCCAATGGATGTTGAGTATCATGCGTAGACAGCTATTAATAAATACCTGTACCTTCTTGATGGTGGTTGTTGTAGTTCTCCAAGTTTCAGCTCCGTACAGTAGAACTGCCTTGACGTTCGTATTGAAGATTCTGACTGATATTGGTTGAAAGTTGTTTTGAGTTCCATATGTTCTTCAGTTGAAGGAATGCCGCTCTAGCTTTGCCAATCCTCGCCTTGACGTCTGCATCTAAACCTCCTTGTTTATCGACGATGCTTTCCAGGTATGTGAAGGATTCCACGTCTTCCAGAGTTTCGCCATCAAGAGTGATTGGATTGCTGTTCTCCGTGTTGTGTTTGAGGACCTTGGTTTTCCTTTTGTGTATGTTGAGGCCTACTGATGCAGAGACTGCTGCTATGCTGGCTGTCTTTATCTGCATTTGTTCGTGTGTATGTGATAGGAGGGCTAGGTCATCTGCGAAGTCCAAGTCGTCTAATTGGTTCTGAGCTGTCCATCGTATGCCGTAGTTTCTCTCAGATGTCGAGGTCTTCATAATCCAGTCGACCACCAGAAGAAAGAGGAAGGGAGAGAGTAGACAGCCTTGTCTTACTCCGGTCCTTACTTGGAATGCGTCTGTCAGCTGTCCTCCATGCACTACTTTGCACTGTAGTCCATCGTATGAGTTCCGGATAATGTTGACAATCTTCTCAGGAACTCCGTAGTGTCGAAGAAGTTTCCATAACGTCCTCCTATCTACACTGTCAAATGCCTTCTCATAATCAATGAAGTTGATGTAGAGTGACGAGTTCCACTCAATTGATTGTTCGACGATGATCCGTAGTGTCGCAATCTGGTCTGTGCACGACCGGTCCTTACGGAATCCAGCTTGTTGATCTCGAAGTTGAGCGTCAACTGCGTCTTTCATCCTGTTCAGTAACACTCTGTTGAAGACTTTACCCGGTATTGACAGTAGTGTAATGCCTATGTAGTTTTCACACTTGCTCAGATCTCCTTTCTTTGGAATCTTGATGAGGTGTCCTTCTTTCCAATCCATCGGCACTTGTTCCTCCTCCCAAATCTTCTTGAATAGAAGATGAAGCATGCTTGTAGTTACTTCGATGTCTGACTTCAACGCTTCAGCTGGTATATTGTCAGGTCCTGCTGCTTTCCCGCTCTTGATTTGTCTGACGGCCATTCTGATTTCTTCTGTCGTTGGTGGATTGACATTTATAGGAAGATCTGTGTGTGCTGCTTCGATGTCCGGTGGATTCATTGGAGCCGGCCTGTTCAGGAGTTCCTCGAAGTACTCTGCCCATCTGTTGCGCTGTTGTTGAATCTCAGTGATTGGTCTTCCTTCTTTGTCTTTGACTGGTTTCTCTGGTTTACTGTATTTCCCTGCAAGCTTCTTCGTCGTATCGTAAAGCTGTCTCATATTTCCTTCTCTTGCAGCTTTTTCCGCCGTCGTTGCTAGTTCTTCCACGTATTTTTGCTTATCAGCTCTAATGCTCTTCTTCACTTTCTTGTTTGCTTCTATGTACTCTGCTTGTGCTTGGACTTTCTCTGCTCTTGTTCGACTGTTGTTAATTGCTGTCTTCTTGTTCTTTCTTTCTTTGATCCTGTCCAGTGTTTCTGTAGAGATCCATTCCTTGTGATGATGCTTCTTGGGGCCCAGAACCTCTTGACACGTTGAAGTTAATGTTTCTTTGATACCTTTCCAGCTATCCTCCATAGTAGTTTCTTCTTCCTTCAGTAGATCCTGTAAGGCTTGGAACCTGTTGTTGAGAGCTACCTTGAATTCATTGAGTTTTTCAGTATCTCGAAGGAAGGCTGTATTGAACCTTTGTAGTGCTGTTTGTCCAGTTGTCCAGTTCTTCTTTAGCTTCAGTTTCAATTTGGCCACAACCAGGTGATGATCTGAAGCTATGTCCGCTCCTCTCCTGGTTTTCACATTTTCCATTGTCCTTCGGAACTTTTTATTGATGCAAATGTGATCTATCTGGTTCTCTGTGGTGTGGTCCGGTGAGATCCACGTAGCTTTGTGTATACGTTTGTGTGGAAATGTTGTGCCGCCTATGACCAATTTATTGAATGCACACATATTTGCAAATCTTTCCCCGTTTTCGTTTCTCTCTCCCAGTCCATGTAGTCCCATGATGTCTTCATATCCGGTGTTGTCCATTCCGACTTTGGCGTTTAGATCTCCCATCAGAATGGTGAGGTCCTTTCTTGGGCACTTCTCTATGATTGATTGCAGCCTCTCATAGAATTGATCTTTAACGTCGTCGTTGCTATCATTGGTGGGTGCATAACATTGGATAATGTTCATTGTGATGCCCTCCTTTGTTTTGAATGATGCTTTGATGATTCTGGATCCGTGAGATTCCCATCCTACAAGTGCATTTCGTGCTACTTTGGATAGCATTAGAGCAACTCCCTGAGTGTGTGGAGCATTTTCCTCTTCGTGACCGGAGTATAGCAGCATCTCTCCCGTATTTAGCCTTTGTTGTCCAGCTTGGGTCCAATGGGTTTCATTGATTCCCAGTACTGCCAAGTTGTATCTCCTCATTTCCGTTGCTATTTGATTGGTCTTCCCGTTCTCCCACATTGTCCGGACGTTCCATGTACCTATAAAAATTGTTGCTCTGGTTGTTAGAAGGGGCATCGGCCTCGTGGCTTCCGAAGGAACTCGGCTTTCACCATGAAGCGTCATATTACCTCTAACTCCCAGGGCAGAGTTTAAATGGTTTGAGTTATTTTTTCTGGTTAGCGTTTTTTTTAGCGAGTTAGGTTTCTACGGGATGGGGACGCTAACCCCATGCCCAACCCTCCTCCTTTACCCGGGCTTGGGACCGGCAGTAACTCTGGAAGAGCTACAGGCGGAGTTATATCCGTAGAACATGTAGTGCGTATTCGGTAACTAGGAGTTTTGATCAGGTGTCTTTTTCACTGTAGAGGTGCAGAGTTAAGGAAATGTGTGTACTGTCCTGTCCAGGTATTTTCTCTGTTTAAATCCCTTTTTAATGATCCATCCGTATTCTTAGTCAAGAGAACGTCCGTAAAGGCTATTTTACCATCACTCTCTTATTCAGATGTAAACTCAGTGGCTGGATGTACTTCATTAAACTGCCTAAGAACCTCTTGCTGTGATGTACTGTTTTTACAGAGGATGAATGTATCATCCATAAACCTACAGTAAAAATGTGAATTTTTGAATAATTTTTTTGAGTGGACCATTTTCTAGTTTGGCTAGAAAAATGTCAGCTAATGTAGGGTCCAATAGTAAACCAATTGCAATACCGTCTGTTTATTTATAGATTTCTCCGTTGAACGTGAAATTCACATTCATGGTGCATTTCAGTAATAACTCTTTTACGACTTTGATAGGGACTGTAGTTCCAATTTCATTTTCGCTCAGTTGTTCACATATATACTCTACGGTCTCTATGAGTGGAACATTTGTGAATAATGATGTTATATCCAAAGACATCATCTTTAGTCCCAAAGTATTTGCGTTTTCGATCTTGTCAACAAATTGCAATACATCCTTAACACCATGTCTTTCAAGTTTTTCTTGGAGAATTTTCAATATAGTTACCAACCATTTAGCTATAGTATGATAAGGAGAGTTATATATATCTACAATCGGTCTTAATGGGATCCCCGGTTTGTGTATTTTTGACAGTCCATACAATCTTGGTAGATAGGTCCCCACTGGTTTAATCATTCCATATAAACCTGACGAAATAATCTGTTGATCCCTGAGCTTCTTCAAAGATCTGGTTAGCACATTATTTATCTTATTATTGAAATCTTTCTGGCCAGTTATTTTTTGAAATTTTAGTTTGTCATCTAAGACGATACCCATTTTGTCAATATAATCACTTTTATTAAGAAGAATAATTCCCGAACCTTTGTCAGGTTTCGTAATCAGTAATGTTTCATCCTTTAGAAGTAGGTTAATAGCTTCATTGTGTAATTGAATTTATTGTTCTTATACTGGTAATAACAGCGTACAAGAGTTGATTAAAATGTCCTAGTTGTTGACCTGAATTTGCAACTAAATCTCGTGTCTGACTACATAGATTTTCAAACTTCGTATCTGTACCAATGTGGTTACAGTGATTAGTAGTATCACAGAATTTCAGACAAGGATATTACTTCTAGTTTTTCTTTATCCAGTTCAACATTTGAGAAGTTATGCGCATAC